GTCTCATGTAGACAGCATATATACGGGTCTTGTTTTTGTATCCATTCAGCCAGTCTATGTCTTTTCATTGGTGCATTTAATCCATTTACATTTAAGGTAATTATCAATATGTATGTTCCTATTACCATTTTCTTAACTGTTTTGGGTTTGTTATTGTAGGCCTTTTCCTTCTCTTGTGTTTCCTACCTAGAGAAGTTCCTTTAGCACTTGTTGTAAAGCTGGTTTGGTGGTGCTGAATTCTCTTAACTTTTGCTTATCTGTAAAGGTAATTTAATTTCTCCATCGAATCTGAATGAGATCCTTGCTGGGTAGAGTAATCTTGGTTGTAGGTTTTTCCCTTTCATCACTATAAATATGTCCTGCCACTCCCTTCTGGTTTGCAGAGTTCTGCTGAAAAAGCAGCTGTTAACCTTATGGGGATTCCCTTGTATGTTATTTGTTGCTTTTCCCTTGCTGCTTTTAATATTTTTTCTTTGTATTTAATTTTTGATAGTTTGGTTAATATGTGTCTTGGATGTTTCTCCTTGGATTTATCCTGTATGGGACTCTCTGTGCTTCCTGGACTTGATTGACTATTTCCTTTGCCATGTTAGGGAAGTTTTTGACTATAATCTCTTCAAATATTTTCTCAGACCATTTCTTTTTCTCTTCTTCTTCTGGGACCCCTATAATTTGAATGTTGGTATGTTTAATGTTGTCCCAGACGTCTCTCAGACTGTCCTCAATTCTTTTCATTCTGTTCTCTCTATTCTGCTCCCTGGCAGTTATTTCCACCATTCTGTCTTCCAGCTCACTTATCCGTTCTTCTGCCTCAGTTATTCTGTTACTGATTCCTTCCAGAGTATTTGTAGTTTTGGTAGTTGTGTTGTTCATCACTGTTTGCTTGCTCTTTAGTTCTTTTAGATCCTTGATAAATGTTTCTTGTATTTTCTCCATTCTGTTTCCGAGATTTTGGATTATCTTTAATGTCATTACTCTGAATTCTTTTTCAGGTAGGTTTCCTATTTCTTCTTTGTTTATTTGGTCTTGTAGGTTTTCACCTTGCTCCTTCGTCTGTAACATATTTTTTTGTCGTTTCTTTTTGTTTGTTTGTTTTGTTTTTTTTGATGGATGGTGCTTATTCCTGTCTTACTGTTTGTTTGGCCTGAGACGTTCAGCACTGGAGTTTGCAGGCAGTTAGACAGAGCTGGGTCTTGGTGCTGAGATGAGGACCTTCTGGAGGCTTCACTCTGATTAATATTCCCTAGGGTCTGAGGTTCTCTGTTAGTCCAGCAGTTTGGACTCAGAGCTCCCACCCGACCTCTGTCCTGGGAACCAAGATCCCACAAGCTTCATGACACAAAAAAAAAAAAAAAAAGGAAGAAAGAAAGAAAAAAAGGAACAGTACAGTATTAAAGAATAAAATACAAAATAAAATTAGAAAGATAAAAATACATCAGGAAAAATAAAACTATAATTGAAACAACTGCAACAAGGTAAAATAAAACCATAGCAAAAAAAGAAGAAAAAGGGAGGGGGGCAACAAGCCAAAAGGAGAGATCATTAACAAAGTATAAAGAATAAAATAAAATTAGAAAAATAAAAGCTTTATTAGGAAAAATATAAAAGAATCAACGACAGTGAATCAACAAGGTAAAACAGAACCCCAATCTAAAAGATGAAAAAAGAAAAAGCCTTGGCTATGGGGGCACAGTTTAGGCTGGGGGGGTGGAGGTGGAACTTAGGCAGAGGCGGAGTTTAGGGTGGGGCAGGACCTAGGCGGGTGGGGGGTGAAATTTGAGCATGGGACGGGGCCTCTGCTTAGGACCTGCCCAGAAGGGGAGAGGCAGCGCATCGAAAGGAGGACCTCTGGAGTGTGGAGTTCCGGAGTTTGGACGTAGGGCCCTGCGTGAGGGTGTGTGGGTGGGGTTTAGGCCCAGCGCCATTGGAGGGGGTCTCAGAGGGGGTCTCCGAGTGTAGAGGTGGGGCTGTGGGTGGGGGTGTAGGGGCGGGGCTTGGGCTCTGTGTGGCAGGAGGGAGGCTCCAAGGGCAGAGGATTACGCCTGGGAGCCCAGCAGGCTTCCCGGTGTTTAAGTGGACAGGGAAGGCACTGGCCCCGTTCCCTTCTGTTCCTTTGCACCCCTCCCCCACTGTCTCCCCCAGGCTGTCCACCATTGGGCTGGACCCCTAACTGTGGGTGGGTCCCGCTGGGTGTAGGAACTCCTTCCCCTCCCCCATCAACCCCTCAGGGCTGCCCGTCCCGTAGGTCCAGCCTTTACTTTTGCTCCCCCTTCCCTCCCTCCCACTCCCTCAGGACCCTTGTGGCTGGAGGGGGCCTAGGTGGGCAGAGGATCAGGCCTGGGTTCTCAACAGGTTCCTGGGGGTCCAGGTGGGCAGGGGAAACCTGGCCACGCTCCCTTTTGATCCTCTGCCCTCCCAGTGGTTCCCGTTTCCCCCTTGGGGTGTGGGATCCCTTCCCCTTCCCCAGCCGCCCGTCAGGGGTGCCAGTCCCATCCCGCCTCCACTTCTCCTCCCCCGTCACTTCCCCCACGCCCCATATCCTACCCAGTCACTGGGGTTTCTTCCCATCCTCTTAGGTCTCCATGGTGCCCCACGGGAGCCTGGTAGGTGCCCTAGTTGTGAGGAGACGAAAATTCCGCATCTTCCTAGTACGCCATCTTGACTCTGCCCCCGTCACCGTTTTTTATTTTAGCTATTCTGAAAGGTAGTGTGATATATCATTGTGGTTTTAATTTGCATTTCCCTAATGGCTAATGATGTTGAACATCTTTTCATGTACTTATTTGCTATCTACGTATCCTCTTGGGTGAGATGTCTCTTCGTGTCTTATGCCAATATGACTTTTAGTTCTCTTAATACGGCTTTTGTGGAGCAGAAGTTTTTTAATTTTGATGAATTTCAAATTATCAGTTTGTCCTTTTATGAGTCATACTAATGCCTGATTCCTGCCTTCAGACATTCTGATTCAATTGGTATGGGGTGCAAGGTGGGCATGGAGACTTTAAAAATCTCTCTAGATGATTCTAATGTGCAGCAAAATTTGGGAACAGCTACACTGGCAGATCAGGTTGTAGTGCTGGAGTTAACTAGCTGTCCCCAAAGTAACTGCAGTGCTTCCTGCTACTGCTTAGGAGCAGCTTTTCTCACAGCAGGCTTGTAACTCAGACGTCAGACTCCTTAGTAGAAACTATGAGTGATTTAAACTGCTTTGAGGCCTAGCCCAGATGACAAAAGATAAGAATAACATCTTTAACACAAGTACCCATCACCAGGTACTTCTGTGATGAGCAAGGCACTGGCCTTGGAGAGAGAGATTGAAGTCTCAGCTGTGTCCTTCATCAGCTGTATGATCTTGGGCAAGCTAATTGTCTCAAACTTTTTACTTATCAGTAAAATGAAGATACTACGTCTACTTTGGAGGGTTCCTTTTAGAAATAATGAGATTATATACTATTTGAAAGTTCTGTTAATCGTAAAATGCCAAATAAAAGGTATATGGTCAGGCCATTCAAGATGGCTGTCCTCTTGCTCTCTGTTCATCTGCTCGACCAGTCCCTGCTTCATTCACACGACTATCCAATTCTCTGAATTATAGGGCTTAATCAGTAACTGCCTACATGCTTGCCTCCACCCCAGCTGCTGGCTTCCCTGGTAACTGATGAGCCCGCCTGACGTCAGTTCCCCCATAAATGGTAGCCCCTTTCTCCCCTGAGTAGGGAAGATTGCTGCCATGTCCTGCCTGCAGCCTGCCATACACGGTGGGGTGTCACGCCAGGATGCTTTTGTCAGATGTGTAAGAATAAACCATTGATGTCTTTGTCACTGTCTCTGTGCTCTTTCTTCAGTCTGGAGGCTGGGCATCTACCAGGCTTGCAAGCCTGCGGGATACAACATCATATTATTCCCCAACATAGTTCCTTAGTCTGAATGCATCACAATCACCTGGGGAATTTTTTTATGGTGCCATGTGCAGCTTGCAGGATCTCAGTTCCCTGACCAGGGATTGAACCCGGACCATGGCAGTGAAAACCCAGAATCCTAACCACTAGGCCACCAGGGAACTCCCCCGGGAAACCTTTTTTTAAAAATAATATAAAAATACAAGTCCTACTTCCATTTCTGGGAAGATGTAGATGTACTCTTTCCTATTCCTCCTTCTAAGTACAACTAAAACCCTTAGACATTATAAATAAAACAAATGTAAGAAGACTCTGAAAGGTAGAGAGAAGAAGGGAGACTGGTTAGGGGCCTTGGGACTCCATTTTATGGCAAAAGTGGAGAAAGAGATAAATAGGACCTTATTTAGTAACAGTGAAATAGTCATATATCTAGCATTAATCCTCACACCTACATTAAGCATTTCCTTTACGCTTTGAAAAGTAAGTTTATAACTTACAGCTGGCTTAGCAATTAGTTTTAAGGTATTAAAACATATTGAAATTGTAATGGAAAAGACAAACTCTAGAATAGACTTATAATATCTTGTTCAGAGTTTGATACCATGGTGCTTTACCTTTGTATACAGGAGACAAATGCTGAGCCCTTACTGTAACACGCTCAGAAGTAATCCATTGCAGTTAACTTGCAGACAGGACCAGAGAGCAGTTGCAGTGTGTAATTTGCAGAAGTTTCCGAAACCTTTACCTCAGGAGTACCAGGTAACACTTGTTTGGGGCACGGTTTCAGGAATCAGCCTTTTAAAAAGAAGTCTCCATTTTGAATTAGAAGAGTGAATTCTCTTAAGTTTTTCAATTTATAAGCCCCCATTTGTTTTCTGTAAGTTAGAAAAAACTGAAGAATTCTTCCATTTCTTTATAACCAACGTGTTAATTGATAGCAATTAATTAATATCTAGCAATGTCTTGTAGTAATGGTAAGAGACATTTAGAATATTTATTTTGATCTATTAAAAAATATATATGTATATTTATTTATTTGTCTGCACCAGGTCTTAGTTGTGGCTTGTGGGATCTAGTTCCCTGACCAGGGTTCGAACTTGGGCCCCCTGCATTGGGAGCATGGAGTCTTAACCACTAGACCACTGGGGAAGTCCCTATTTTGATCTGTTTTTTTATAAATTGTTTGTATTTTCTTTTTAATTATTTCCAAAGTCTTCGTCTTTATATCAAAAACAAGGTTCTTTAAAGAAAGAAACTAACCGAAGAAGACAAATATATCACTTATATGAGGAATCTTTAAAAAATGATACAACTAAACTTATTTACAAAACAGAAACAGACTCACAGACTTAAGAGAATGAACTTATGGTTACCAGGGGGGAAGGGGGAGGGGGAGGGATAGATTGGGAGTTTGGGATTGACATGTACACACTGATATATTTAAAATAGATAACCAATAAAGACCTACTGTATATCACAGGGAACTCTGCTGAATGCTCTGTAATGACCTAAATGGAAAAAGAATTTGAAAAACAATAGATACATGTATAACTGAATCACTTTGCTGTACACCTGAAACTAACACAACATTGTTAATCAACTACACCCATTATAAAATAAAAAAATTTTTTAAAAAGGAAATAAAATAGAGTAACTAAGGTACTGTAGTCCAGTTAATTAAAAGACTTGAAAGTTCTGCTTTAGAAAAGTTTGCCTAATGAGATCTGAAAGGTGAAGGAAATGGTCCCATGTGTCCAGTCTGAATCTCTGATTTGACCTTTAAGTTTTTTGTTGAAGTGGCTATTTCTAAAAAAAGCCTCAGCTCTGCCTGCCATTGACAAAGGACCCATTAGTCAGAAATGATATCTCAGAAGTGAATTTAAAGTGATTGTTGCTAAATTTTGAGCTTCCTACATATGTTTATGACCACACTGAGTGCTTTAGACACCAGAAGATGGCAACTATATATTTCTACACTTAGTAATATAATTTAAAATGTGAAATCTTTAAAATTTATCTGATACCTTGTTCCTTTGGTGTTTAAAGTATTTTATATATATAATCTCATTCATTTTCTTATGGTTTTTCAAGTTTGTCAAAACAACATATAAATTAATTCTAAAAACACTTGAAGTACATTAAATTTAAAACATCTTAATTCTATGCATTAGTTTTGTGTTTTGTCAGCTCTTAAAACTCTTCCTATTCATCCTTTTAAAACATTAGTCAAATTTGTCATCTAATAAAAAACAGACTAATTTACTTAGCTTGATTATTTCTAAAACTACAACAACCTCAAAATACCCCTCAGGTAGTATATTAACTATCTTTGTGTTGTACTATGTATGAAAAAAATAGATTAATATCTTCTTTGTGTTATACAGCATTAATTGGTTGCTATAAATTGCCTGTGGGCTTTGTTTTGATTATATAGAATGTTTCTTACTCTCCTGCCTTCCTAATATTTTTTTCTTTGTAGTACTTTGATGAACTCAGTGGAGTACCTGCAGAAGATCTACCTTATTATGGTGGTTCAGTAGAAATTGCTGACTACTGCCCTTTCAGTCAGGAATTCAGTTGGCATTTAAGTGGTGAATATCAGCGCAGCTCAGATTGTAGAGTATTGGAAAATCAACCAGGTTAGTAGTTTAGTGAAATTAAATGTTATATACATATTAAAAGTATATATCAGCAATACAAAATAGTGGTTAAGGATACAGACCCTGGAGCCAGATTGTCTGAGTTTATGTTGTGGTTCCACTGCTATCCACCTGTTCAAAGTAACTTCTCTGTGCCTCAGTTTTCTCCTCTGTACAGAAGGGATAATACCTGTCATAGAGTTGTGAGAATTAAATGAATTAATACAGTAAGTGCTTAGAATTACAACACATAGAAAGGATTGTTAGCTATTAGATATACTTGCACATGGGTGTACACACACTACCGTTTAGTAATACCTTATATTTGCATGACACTTCTCATTTGCAAAACAATTTCACTTTTATCATTTCATTTTGTTCTTCTAAAAACCTGACAAGAGACATAGAGAAGATATTATCGAATTTCACAGATGAGGGAAGAGCTACTAAGTAATACGTTTAATTGATGTCAGTGCAAGATCCTCCAATGCAGAACTCTTTTTATTAAATCGTATTAGGTATCCTATTCTTTCCTCTCCTGAGGAATGTGCATTTTATGTAATTTAAACATAACGTGTCATTCTCCAGATATCAGAATAATACTGTTGTCCCATGGCTAGTATTGCCATCTTATTTATTCCCATTTAGTAAATGAACAGGTCATCAAGGAAATAAACAGTATGGCAATTGGATATTCAGCAATAGTAGTTATAGCTCATACTAACCACCTTTGTAAACAAAATGTTCTCACATCTGATTTGTTAATCAAGAGCAATAAGTAGTTTTTCTGCCTGTGGTCATCAAAATTTTCAACCTGGTCCTTTCCTCCTCGCCCCCATTCCATACTTTATTTCAGACTAAATCATTTAAAATTAAAATTTCCATAATTTTTTTCCTTTTATTCTTAAACCTGGCAGATGTAACTGGATTTGTACAGTCATTTTTTTCCCATCACACCTACTTAATAAATGTCTAATGACATAACTACGCAACAGTTGCATGTTACAGCAAAAGAAATGCACATATTTGTCAATTATGGGTTTGCCAAAGATATCACATTTTAATGTTTTAGAGCTGGAGTTGGCAAATATTTATTATAAAAAGCAAGATAGTAAATATTTTAGGCTTTATGGGTCATGCAGTCTCTGCTGTTAAGTGTGAAAGCAGTTAACAGATAATATGTAAGTGAATGAGTATAGCTCTGTTCCAATAAAAATTTCTTTATAAAAACAGGTATTTCCCAGGATTTGGCCTGAGGGTTGGCCTGACCCCTCTTTTCTTTTTTTTGACAATGATCACTATGTGTTTTGAAGACTTTGAAATATTCATAAAGAAATATAAAGTTCTGTTTTATTGTTTTACATTTTATTTCTTAGCTTATACAATTAAGATTTTTTAAACTGACATAAAATTTTTATCTTTATAATATTTCAAAATGGGCTAATTGAACTCTGCTTTCAAAAGATGAAACTTGTATTAAGTGCAAAGAGAGAAAATTATTCCTAGGCTTTTTTTTTTTTTTTTTAATTCCTAGACTTTAAGGACTTCATTCCTTTGTCCATTAGCTAGTTAGGGGTCATTTAGTCTGCCCCATACCTCTGCAGGTTTGTGCTTAGTCTAAGAAGACCAGCTCAACCTGTCATTTATTGACTTCCAGGAGATGGCATAAGTTGAAACTACAAGAACGTCTTGCAAAAGTTGCAGCACTCCAAAAAAATCTTCATTATATAAATCACTTGGCCTCATCCTATCTGGGTCACTTGGGAAGTGACTTCTATTTAGGACACCATTGAAGGTGACTCTTAGTGCCATTTCCTCTATATATTTAACTTAGTTGCTTTAGGCCCAATTTTATCTCTTGTTTCTGATATAATAATTATCCTACTAATTGCTTTATTGAGAATCCAGTTTGAGTTTGGAACCCTCTGTCTTGATTTTTTTTAATTGAAAATTTCCATGAAACATGTTTTATTTTTAAAGCAACTTTTAATTATAAGAGTGGAATACTTCAATTTCTTATTCTTTGAGCCCAAAGTCAATTTTTAATAAAGAAAACTTTTCTGATTTGCTTCAGACCTTTTTAAAAACTATGGTGCTGAAAAGTATGGACCTCATTCAGTTTGTCTAATTCAGAAATCAGCATTTGTCATGGAAAAGTGTGAAAGGAAGCTGAGTTACCCGGACTGGGGGAGTGGATGCTATCAGGTAAACCATATGATTGTTAATAACAGTACCAAATATTACATAATTGTATCTCATTATATGGTTTTTATATTTTCAAATACATTTTATATCTTTTATTTCTACTTATTAATACTTTAACTTATTCATTGTAAATATTAGTTTGTATATTTGTGTTTTGTCAAAATATTGTCATTTCTTTGAGAGAAATTGCCCTTCTCTGTTTAAAAAGTATATATAGTTGCTGTATATCAGCAACTTTTATAACAATTTTGCCTCTGGGCATAGATCCTAAGGAAATATTAGGAAACATGTAATTTTGTTCTTTTTTAAATATTTATTTATTTATTTTTGGTTGCGTTGGGTCTTTGCTGCTGCGCGTGGGCTTCTTATTGCGGTGGCTTCTCCTTGTTGCAAAGTGGGCTTCAGTAGTTGTGACACACAGGCTCAGTAGTTGTAGCTCACGGGCTCTAGAGCACAGGCTCAGTAGTTGTGGTGCACAGGCTTAGTTGCTCCGCAGCATGTGGGATCTTCCCGGACCAGGGATCAAACCCGTGTCCCCTGCATTGCAGGCGGATTCTTAACCACTGTGCCACCAGGGAAGTTCTGTAATTTTGTTCTTTAAAACTAATTTGTAATGGAAAAAAAGCTATAATTTATTTTGTAAAATCTGAAGAAAGCATGTATTTAAGAATTAATAAATCAACTACTGATTAATAGTAGATTTTTTTCCTTTGAAATGAGAAGTCCAAAGAGAGCAAACTACTATTTTCTTAATTTATTATTTGCATGTCTGATATTAAATGACTGCATCACCGTAGAACTTACTGAGATACAGGCATTCTGTAACTTAGGAGCATCAAACCTAATGAATATTCCATACCCTACTAACGGACATCAGGGAAGAGAGTGTGATCCTGAAAACTCAAACATAAGAATTTGTTGTGCCATTTCACCTACAAGAGTTAAATGGACTAATGTAGCTAACAATTTAACTTATTATTTTTAAAGTTTCTTTAAAATTAACTCTTTTTTTTGGTAACTGCTTTATTGAGGTATAACTCACACCATACAATTCATGTAAAATTACCTTTGAAACCTTATAAAAGACAATTAAAAATACTTTCCAGCTATAATCCTATAATCTGACAACTATAATCCAGCAACCATTTTCTGATGAATTCATCCTATTAAAGATTATGTATTGCTTAAATACATAGTTTTGATCTAGTTGTAATCAGAATACATAATTTTGTTTTCGTGACTTAGTACTTTTTATACAGACCAAGATACCTTTTCCAAGTTCTCCCAATAATAATACTTACTGTTCTTCATAGCTGTAGAACATTGCATCATTTTAAAGTATCATAATTAGGGAAGTCATTTTCCTGTGAGATATTGAATTAATTTTCACTTTTCACTATATAAAAATGCTTTTGTAAGTATATTTACATGCTTTACCTTTTTATTAGGATAAAGGGGATAAAGCTGGAACAGTGTGAACTATAATAGGAGGATAACCTTTTCAGCCTGTTTTAATGTCTTCTCTACACCACCACCACCACCACAAAGGGATTACATAGATTTGTAATACCATCTACAAAGACTGAATGTACTTGGCTTCCCTGTAGTACCTAGTGTTGTCGGTTAATTTTTTTAATTTAATACTCACAACCATTTATATGGGAAAATGTGCATGATTTCCAAACAATTAGCATTTGGATTAGCTGTTTTGTTTTCTGTTCTTTGTTTTACTTATTTTGACAGAGAAGTTGCAAGAATGGTACAAAAATATTGGTCATTTAAGTGCAAATTGCTGATAGTCTGCCCCTTCACCCCTAAATACTTTAATGTGTATTCCTTATAAACAAGGACATCCTCCTATATGACCACAGTACTACCAAAAAAATCAGGAAATAACACTGATACATCTAGTTCTTGGACCCCGTTCAAGTTTTGCCAATTGTCCCAATAATGTCCTTGTAGTAATAGGATCTGCACTGATATCACATATTGAGTAGTTGTCACATCTCTGGTCTCCTTCAATCTGGAACAGTTCCTCAGTCTTTTCTTGACTTTCATAACCTTCACACTTTTAAAGATTACAAGCCAGTTCTTATCTATGATGTGTCTCCATTTGGGTTTGCCTGATGTTGCCTCATGATTAAATTCATGTAATATGTTTTGGGCAGTAATATCACAGAAGTGATGCTTGTGTTTTTTTGGTGGTACACTTTTTTTTTTTTAATATTTATTATTTTGGCTGCATCAGGTCTTAGTTGTGGCACGCAGGACCTTTCGTTGCAGTGCACGGGCTTCTCTCTAGTTGTGGTGTGCGGACTCATTAGTTGCAGCACGTGGGCTCTCTAATTGTGGTGCACGGGCTTAGTTGCCCCATGGCATGTGGGATCCCAGTTCCCCAGCTAGGGATCAAACCAGCATCCTCTGCATTGCAAGACAATTCTTAACCCCTGGACCACCAGGGAAGTCCCTGCTGGTGCACTCTTTGATTTGTCCCTTTGCTGGTCATGTTAACTTGCTGGTATCTACCAGGCTTCTCCACTGTCAAGTTACTGTTTTTCTCTTTTAATTAATTCCCTTTTTAATTAATAAGTATTTGGGGGGAAAAGTACTATATCAATAACTTATTTCTTATCATACCTTCATTTTATTAATTTATGCATTTAAATCTGTATTGACTCACAGATTGCATTTTATTCAGTGGGTATTACCATTACTATCATTATTTATTTGGATATTTAAGTTGCCCCAGATTTAGCCAAAGGGAGGGAGCCCTTCAGCTTGGTTCCTGTGTCCTTTTGGCTGTCCTATCTTTTTAACTATTTCCTTGCTTTCTAGCACAAGATATTCTAGGCTCATCTTCAGTTTCTTTGCCACAGCCCTGGAATTAATCATTTCTCCAAGGAGCTCTTGTTTCTTTTAGTGGAGTGAGGTATTTAGAGACTAAAGTCTGGGTGCTAGGGACTTCCCTGGTGGCCCAGTGGTTAAGAATCCACCTGCCAATGCAGGGGACAGGGGTTTGAGCCGTGGTCCGGGAAGACCCACATGCTGCAGAGCCACTGAGCCCCTGTGCCACAACTACTGAGCCTGTGCTCTAGAGCCCGCGAGCCACAACTGCTGAGCCTGCATGCCACAACTACTGAAGCCCACACACCTAGGTCCCGTGCTCTGCAACAAGAGAACCCACCTCAACGAGAAGCCCAAGCAACACAACAAAGAGTAGCCCCCGCCTGCCGCATCTAGAGACAGCCTGTGCACAGCAACAAAGACCCAACGCAGCCAAAAATAAATAAATAAATTTATTTAAAAGATAAAAAAATAAAGTCTGGGGAGCTTCCCTGGTGCTGCAGTGGTTGAGAGTCCACCTGCCAATGCAGAGGACACGGGTTTGTGCCCCGATCCGGGAATATCCCACATACCACGGAGCGGCTGGGCCCGTGAGCCATGGCCGCTGAGCCTGCGTGTCCGGAGCATGTGCTCCACAACAGGAGAGGCCACAACAGTGAGAGGCCCGCGTACTGCAAAAAAAAAAAAAAAAAGTCTGGGTGCTAGATGTATTGTTCATTGCTGTTGGGATACAGCTGCTCCCCAGGCCTTCTTGGTGAACAGAGCTAGGAAATATATGTGTGTATGTAATTTTATATATACTCATACATGTGCATATATATAACCACGAGTTTGTACCAGTATCTTTGATTCCAGTTTAACACCGAATAATTCATTTTAGTTTTCTCCCTTCCCATATTTGTAACTCTTCTTTCAAGCAGTGAGAAATCTGGTTCTCTTTGTCCTTAATATGCTTATTATTTGTTCTGTTCACATCCTTTCCATCTTCATCCACCCCATGCGGTTACTCTCCTCACCCACTTGGACTCTGACACAGCCCACCAGCTCACAACATGTCTCCCTCACTGTGATGCAAGCCCTGTGCACATCTTTAGAATATAAATGCTTTATTCCATGAAACTTTCTAATCTTTGTTCTTTTTCTTATTGCCTCTTATTACATCTTTATCATAAAACAGTCTGACACTGTTAATTTTGGGGGGAAATTTGTATATCCTACCCTTCTCTCCTCAATTAAAGCTGCTAGAGGTCAGGCACTGTGTCATGGACTTCTTTGGTATCCTTTTCAGCACCAAGCACAATACCCAGTCTAGTCTCACTTAAAAGAATGATTACATTGCATTGCAGCTGTGGTGATGCTTACTGGGTGTGGGTCATTGAATGACAGACTTATAGAAGAGTTTACACTTTGTTGTTTATTTTCTTGATAGCTTATCATAACTTAAATTTCCAAATGAATGTTATATTTAAACTTAATTGATGAAAAGAGTTGTTTTTAAAATGACTCCATTGTTGAAAAACACTTTTGGAACTCCTTTTTAAATTGCTTTTAGAGATAGTTTAATAGCCTTCTAAGAAGTCAATTTCAGTATTTTACATCATACCTATGTTGACCTAGTCTTAATCAGTTTAGTCAACTGCCTTTACCAGACTTGGATCTGGGCAAGTTTTGGGTATTTCCAAAAATTACATCTACTTGCAAAGTAAAAATTTGCCACCATCAAACATACTCAGAACCATGCACTTTCTTTGAAGATAGTTCCAGGAGAGAAGATCCAGAAATATTTAAGGTGAAGTAGCATAATGTAAAGTCTTTTTAGAAAACAACTTTGAGGGCTTCCCTGGTGGCACAGTGGTTGGGAGTCCACCTGCCAATGCAAGGGATGAGAGTTCAAGCCCTGGTCTGGGAGGATCCCACATGCCACCGAGTGGCTAAGCCTGTGCGCCACAGCTGCTGAGCTTGCACTCTGGAGCCCACAAGCCAGAACTGCTGAGCCCGCATGCCACAGCTACTGAGGCCTGCACACCTAGAGCCTGTGTTCCACAATGGGAGCGGCTACTACAATGAGACGCCTGTGCACTGCGATGAGGAGTGGCCCCCATTCTCAGCAACTAGAGAAAGCCCGTGCGCAGCAGCGAGGACCCAACTCAGCCAGAATGAATGAATGAATAAATAAATAAATAAATAAAATTTATTTTAAAAAAACAACTTTGAAGACAACACAGTCATTATAAATTTTCTTAAAGTTAACTTTAATATGTTTGTTTTTTAAAATTGATTTCATTAGTTACCCCTTGTATATGAGATATGAATCCTGCTTTTAAAGATGTTACCAGTTGTATAAAATCACTGTGACCATTTTCATCTCTGAGCAGAGGATCTGGGATAGGGATAATGAATAACAAACTTTTACTATGTCATTTCTATACAGTGTGCTTTTTTTTTTTTTACAATGAGCATATATTGTTTTTATAATTGATTTTATTTATTTTTGGCCGCGTTGGGTCTTCGTTGCTATGCATGGGCTTTTTCTAGTTGCGGAGAGCGGGGGCTACTCTTCGTTGCGGTGTGCGGGCTTCTCATTGTGGTGGCTTCTCTTGTTGTGGAGCATGGACTCTAGGCACACAGGCTTCAGTAGTTGTGGCTCGCAGGCTCTAGAACGCAGGCTCAGTAGTTGCGGCACGCAGGCTTAGTTGGACGCACTTAGTTGGGTGCGGCATGTGGGATCTTCCCGGACCACAACTCGAACCTGTGTCCCCTGCATCAGCAGGCGGATTCTTAACCACTGCACCACCAGGGAAGCCCTATTTTTATAATTTAAAACAACTAAAAAAATTTGAGTTACAAAATTTAGCAACTTGTAGAAAAAGTGACATGATTCATGGCTCTTTGACAGACATTTAACCTGAATTATAGGAGGATACTAGAATCTACAGAAATGTTACTATTGATAACTTGGCTTCAGGGGTCTGTGAATCCAAATTGTATGTAAAGCTGTATGTTACCTTGTTTTTTTCAGGAAGTGTCCATAGCTTTCATTAGATTTTTTAAAAGGTTCTAGACAAAAAGTCTAAGAACTACTACTACCACAGAGTGAAATTCTTTTAGAACATGAATAATTTAACCCTCTTTATATGAAATTAAATGAGGCCCACATTCCAAATTGTCTTTTATAGCCAGCATTTTTAGTAAATTCTGCCATATTTTCCTACAGTTGAGGGAGAAGGCTCACATACTAGAATCTTACTGATCTGATTTTTTTTTTTTTCACATTTTGAAGGTTTCTTGTTCTCCACAAGGTCTGAAGGTTTGGGTTCAGGATACTTCATATTTGTGTAGTCGGGCCGGGCAGGTCCTCCCCGTCAGTATTCAGATGAATGGCTGGATTCACGATGGAAACTTGCTCTGCCCATCATGTTGGGACTTCTGTGAGCTCTGTCCCCCAGAAACAGATCCTCCAACTACTAACTTGACCCGAGCTCTACCCCTAGGTGAGTAGTCTCTGTGGTTGGAGTACAGAGAAGGACTTTTCTTACAAGATGTTGAAAATGCCCTGCAAGGAAGCTCTAAAACAGGTTGCGCGTCTTCTCTTCTAATTGCAGTTTTATGGGAAGATCGCCTTCCCTCCATGGTTAGAAATTGAAGGTAGGTAGACTTGACACCTCTCTTCAGTAAGAGTGAGGGTGAGGAAACTTTCGATATGCGAAGAACCTCTGACTTGCACAAAAACATTCATTGAAGGTTACAAAAAGTTAATGTTTCAGCCATTCATTTTGAAAGTAAGAGTAAAAATTCTGTTCATGAATACAAAAAGCAATTAAATATATTTTAGTTATATTATAACTAGGTGAGGCGAAAGAGCGGGAAAGTCACTGGAAAAGATGCTCAAAGAAGGGATTGACATGCCCACAAAGAAGAGAAAGGTGCAGGGAGATGCAAATATACGCAGTGAGATAGAAAGACAGGCTGGCAAAGACAGTGGTTTTCACTGAGAGATATATTACTCATTCTGTGAGACTCCAGAGAGTAGGACTGAGAACAATGAATTAAAGTTGTAGGGAGACAGATTCCAGTAAAATCCTTTAGAACCAGGAGAGGAATAGAAGGGACTCTCTTGAGAAGAGTGCATTCCCTGTTGATGAAGATGTGCAAACTGAGGCTGATGACCCATTTCTAAGAGTTTTAAAAGCAGAACTCATGAACTCTCAATGAAAGCTTTGACCTATGGTCTATGATATTTTAATTAAATGACCTATGAGATTTTATGACAGTTTGATATTTTGGAATAGGCCATGTTTCATTTTCTCAACTGGAGGTATTTTTTAAATGGAACTGTATAGCCCTTTGCTTGCTCCATGGTCTGGTTGAAAACAAAGGGCTACATTCACTTTATAGCTCAAAGTTTCTTCACCTCTAAAATTTAATTCCCTTTCTTTCCCACATTCTGGGGCCTTTATCAAGACATGGGCTATAAGTAGAGGGTGAATTTGGGGAGATTAATACTTGTGTTAGGGGTGCCTAAGACCACCCCCAGATTTCATGACTCTCTAGGACTCAAAGGACTCAGCCTCTAGTTGTACTTACGGCTAAGCTTTGTTAAAGCAAAAAGATACAAAGCAGAATCAGCAAAGGGAAAGGGGACAGTGGGTGAAGTCTGGAAGAAACCACTTCCCAGACACCAGCTAAAGGCTGTCCTTGCAAACAGGACTTTCAAATGATGGCCATCTCAGGCCTGCTGTGTTAACTCTTTTCACTTAACTCCTGTGAGCCAGCTGAGTTTTCTGCAGTTATAATAGTAATGCACAATGAATTAAAAGATCTCAGGTCCTTTTGATACGGTATATGATAAATGTAGTGTTAAATATTCTTAGTCAACTTTCATATGAAGTGATAGGATGACTTGATTTTGTTATTGTTACATTGCTTTGGCTAGAATTAAAGGGCTGCTAGTCTACAAATAGGTGGTTCTGATGGAGTTCCCATGCTCAGGCCTAATCTCAGAGTTAACTATAAGAAATATCATCATTTCAGTGTCCAAGAGATGAGCATTGATTGAGCCATTAGCAGTTAGAGTTGAGTTAAAGAGAGAGTTACTCCAGCTGGTTCAGGGGTAAGAATCTTAGGAGTACAGTAAAACGTGTAGAAATGAGGAGAAAGCCAGACTAGTTCAAGGACCTGTGAAGTGATTAGTTCCTGTCCTTGGAGCATGGCAAAGACAAGTGAACCTGTTGAAAGGAGGTGGGTAGTAGAGATTGCAAATGACCCCACCCCCTCCACCAACCTGCGCCCTAGACTTGACTTCTTATCCAGCTCCCTCTTTGTAGTCACCCTTCTGATACTGTGGTACTATGTTGTGATTTCTTCCCCTGTTAACCAGTTCTATGAGGAAGCATGCTCAAAAAAGGATTGTAACCTCCGAATCACCACCACAGTTTTGAAAAATGTATAAAATATTACAAGAATAGATGCCTTTTAGAAAAAAAAAAAAGGAATAGATACCTTTTAGGCATAGTTTCCACTAGTGAATATGAAAGATTTATTTCTAAATTTTCTGATCTCTTCAGATTTTGGAGGTTGTTTTGTTTCTATTTATTAAATGCTAGACACTTTGCTGAGTGCTTTATGTCTATATCATTGTATTTAATCATCACAAAACCTAATGAGGTAGGAATTATCATTTTACACATGAGAAAACTAAGGTATAAAGAGATTAAGTGATATATTCACTGTCACGGCTAATGAGGTTCAGATCAAAACCGAGATCTGATAGTCTCTGATTCATTTTGAAACATGCTCTTTGTATCTTTCCTTTTTAAAGAGCACTGTCACAGAAAGTGCAGTGTTTTTGAAGGACAACAAATGTTCCAGAGCGGCCATTAATATTTTAATAGCTTGTTAAATGTTAGTACCAACAGTAGATAAACAACAGTTAGTTCAGTTCTCCTCCTATTTCCTTTGTGCCAAATTGAGAATCGGGAGATAAAGGGATATGTCTGTGTTATTAGTGATTCCAGGGTCTATTTCTTATTCCAGCCAAGACCACTCTACCTGATGTTGTAGGCCAGAACTTATCCAGTAGACCTTTCTGGGGTGATGGAAATGTTCTATAATCTGTGCTGTCCCATACAATAGTCATTAGCCAGAACTTATCCAGTAGACCTTTCTGGGGTGATGGAAATGTTCTATAATCTGTGCTGTCCCAAACAATAGTCATTAGCCACATGTGACTATTAAACATGTGAAATGTGGCTACTGTGATGGAGGAGCTAAATATTTCATCTCATTTTGGTTAATTTCAATTTAAATAGCACTTATAGCTAATGGCTGCCATATTGGACATTGCAGCTCGAGCTCAGAAGTTCTCAAACTTTAGCATGCATCAGAATCATGTTAAAACACAGATTGCTACGACTCACCCCCAGAGTTTCTGATTCAGAAGATCTGGGTTGGAGCCTGAGAAGTTCCCAGGTGATGCTGATGTTGTTGACTCAGGTACCATACTTTGAGAAGGATTGATTTTTCTAACATTTAACGATTGCCAGCTGGTTCCATTGGGGAAGAATATAAGTTCTCCATGGTTTACTTGTATTACATACAGTGAAATAGTTTTTTAAAATACTTATTCCACACTGTATAGTTCTCAGAAGAACAAGCTCCAGTGCCTTAACATTATCATTTTATTAATTCTATAGCTGAAAAACCAGCCCTTTTTTTCTTACCTTTTAAGCAAGTCAGACTTGAAGCTTGCTTGGTTCTTTATTGGTCAAAATAGTAGAAAGGACAACTCATCCTGAAATAAAGTCAGGTTGACCTGGTCTCTTGACTGCTAAAAAATGTACTCTATTCTGAGAATTGTTTGGGGGAAATAGTTTTAGCTGTTAGAACAACTCTTAGATAAATTAAAATATACTCCTACTGCCCAAAACTCATAGAATCTTCTGCTGTTTCCAAATCAAGCCTGGGGTGATATGGATAGATGGGTAGATATTTAGAGATTGGGGAACGTATGTCCTGTTTTGCCTGGGACAGTCCACGTGCCTATTGTCCTGGTATGATTACTAATAATTCCCTTGTGTTAAAATTATCAAAGAGAACAATTTAGTTGATCAAAGCAAATTTTATTTCACACAGGCAGTCTCTACTCTCAGGAGTCCAGAGAACTGTAAAATAAGGGAAAAGGGCTACAAGCAGGAAACAAGGAAGAAGTACTCAGCTTAGGTTGATGGGCCGGGGTTAAGTATCTAACCTTATTTAGAAAGATCAAGGAACAAAGAAATAAGTATAGAGCCCACCCTGGCTCGGTGGTTGGAGATTGGCTGATTGGATATTCTGTGGTTCTGGTCAAGTGGAGCATTTACACAAACATGAAAGTTATCTAAGTTTTAATTTGCTGTTTTGGCGCCATGGGCAGGAGAGGCTCCATCTTGAGACTAGAAATTTATTTCAACGCTTATCTCAAAATGTCCTGATATGGGATGATAAATTATAGGGTCACCCTACTTAGAAGGGACAAGGTAGAATAGAAGAGAGTCCAGCATCCCATGTCAGAATAGCCAAGAATTTCATTTACTTTCCTGTGTAGCATCTTTAGCTTTGCCAGGATACTACCCTGTCTTTTCTTGGGTGCTGATTTTGAACCTTGATATGGTAGGTACATCTTCTTTTCTCCTACATAAATATTTTGTTCTTTTTCTATAAATATAAAAAAAGACTTTGCATATATGGATTTCAGGAAGTCACTCTTGATTCTACTCTTCAAGGTAGTCCTTCTTCACCTTTTAATAATTACCTCTACTCATCTGTCAACATTTTAGTTGGTATAATTTTTTCCAAAAATGTCTGTGGAAAGTCAATTTTTTGTTTTCAACCCTAGATCTCTGTTCCTGTTCCTCTAGCCCAGTGGTTACCCTTTGGCTTCTGCTAGGCAATCTGTTTCCTCTGCTGGCTGGATTTCTTCTGTGCGTATGGCATTAGGAATGGAAAAGTGAATTCTGAAGACATTCCTTTGTGTCATGTTCCTCTGAACAAAGCACAAAATCTGGGCGAGTGCCAGCCTATGCAGATGGCAGAAGTGGCATTCCTGACTTTGGCTTGGAAGTGTTGACCATAATCAGATCTTGAAGCAGAGCTTCACAGCAATCACTCCTCGTCAGCAACCCAACAGCCTCAAAGTTTGGAGAAGGAGGAGGAATTCCAAATCACCAAGTCTCTTTATTTTTCAGGATAAATACTCTTCTTGAAGTTTTCCTTTGAAAATGGGATAATAGGTGAAAAATTCAGTTATTACATACCTCAGCATCTTCATTAACCTAAAACAATGGGAAAGTTCATCACTGCTGCAATAATTTAAAGAACAGCTAATCATTGCAAGGTTATAAGTTGTGGACCCTGTCCTCAAAAGTATAAATTGTCCTTTGACTTACAGAAAATAACTTGAATTGGGATTTCTACATCACTATTATACCTATTTTGAATTTAATGACTGTATATGGTACACCTAACTCATTGTTCTCATTGTTTTTTTTTAAAATTATGTTTTGCTAAATCTTATGATTTAACCATGCTAGCCTTTTCAAACCAGCTGTGTGGCAGTTTCCTGCTGAACCATTAGGTGTTGGTAGCTGTATCTGTACTAATTGATCTTCAGAGAGTAGCTTCCAGTTGTATTCTCCATTAGTTTAATAATGACTTGAAAAACTGGGAAGCAGAGAGAGAAAAATACTCTGCCCTGTGAAAACATTGAAGACATGCAAATAAAAGAAAACCTAATTGTATGTTTTTCAGATAATAGTTATGACAACTGCAATCCAACAAAAATAGAACTTTCCTTTTTGACCGATGAAGATAAAAAGAAATTCTGGTATAGACAGGTATGCAGTTATTTTCAAGTGGGCTTAGGAGTTGTTACAGAAGAATTTGACTATCTGAAAATTATTTTATGTGTAAGAAGAAAAGATATAAGTCAAAACAAGATGGTCTGAATTGTTTATAGCAAAGTGTAGGTTTGGTTGTAGGGCCTATCCAATAGGGTCCACTTTACCACACAGGGTATGGCTTAGTCCACAGAAGTCAGAAGGTTGCCTTTGCTTTAAAAGGAGGTAATGTCTTTTACCTCTTGTATTTGACACTCTTTCTGTCACCCATAGATTCTGGTCCCCAGAGGCAATTCTGCTCTTGTACTAGAGCTGACCAACCCTACTTAGTAAACCCAATTTGAAAATCTTTAATGATGAATGATGCCCAGTTTTTCTCTCTAAAGCTAATGAAGTCCTGTGGCATTAGAAACATAGCCCTTGGACATGCATTCATTCATTCACTGGTTGGCCCTTTAATTCAGCATACAGTTATTGAGCACTCAGTTTAAGAAACTGCTAAGTGAACAAACAGCATAATTACTAAGGAGTAATTCCAACTTATTGTTTGGCACTGGAGCCAAACAGCAACTCCAGCATAGAGGAAAGTCACCTTTTTTCAAAAAAATGCATACATTTAAAATACTTATTTGCCTACAATTTTAAATTGGAGGTATTTGTCATTGTGAAAAGCTGGGGGTCTCTAGCATAGCCAGCCTCAGCTGAAGAAAATCTAATACCAATGGTGTTTCTGCCTACGTTCTGCATACTTTAAATCATGAAAAGTCAGAGAAAAATGTAGAGTATATTTTTAAAGAAAGTTATAAAAATCTAAACTTATATACCCAATGTGATTATGAATCATCCTGCAAAGTTGTACAAAGAATTTCACCAAAAATAATATGGATTCATAATATATTTGAGACTCACAGTGATAGGTTCAATTATATTTTGACTGTTGTGCAGTAATGCCATTTAGGTAGTATTGTTTCTGAGCATGGTGCTTTTTATACTTGAAATATATTTTTGCTTTACTTTTTATTGATATAATTATATTTGCACTAATGACTTTCTGAAGAAAATATTATAGATGACATTTTTTCTATATATATATTTGTTAAGCTTGGAATCTGGTAGCCCAGTGTTTTCTCTGCACAAACGTAGAACCTGGTAAAGTATGGTGTTAAGAAATCTTGAGTTTTTGAGGGTAACTAACAGTGCTGGTGTCTTCCTTCCTCTTCAACAAGTCTTGAAAGTGGTTGCTTATCACTGATTCTGCATAGTATACTCAGTGAAGATTTAGAAGGCCACTGATAAAATTCTAAATTTCTAAAAAGAAGGATTTTTAAAATCTGAAATTTCAATGCAGAATTAGCAGGCTAGAATTAAGTTTTGAACTGAAGAACTTGAGATGACCTAAATTTCAATATCCTGTGGCAGGTAATGCTCTTTATGTTCACAAAACCAGTTCACTGAGAAAGAGACCATGCAGACTGCAGCCATGGTGGGAGTGAGGTGGGGCAGGGAAGGGGAATGGGGATAGCTGATTTGAGGATAGTAGACTGAAGTCCCTTTCTGACTCAAAAGGGTCAAGTCCTTATAAAAACTGACTACCTCAGTTTTCAGTTCAGACTTAGTTTCATTTTGATAGTATTTTTTTTCAATTTAAATAATATATCAATTTTATTTTTTTTTACATCTCTCTGGCTTTACAAGGTGTGTTAGTTTCTGCTTTATAAAAAAGTGAATCAGTTATACATATACATATGTTCCCATATCTCTTCCCTCTTGCGCCTCCCTCCCTCCCACCCTCCCTATCCCACCCCTCCAGGTGGTCACAAAGCACCGAGCTGATCTCCCTGTGCTATGTGGCTGCTTCCCACTAGCTATCTACCTTACATTTGGTAGTGTATATATGTCCATGCCTCTCTCTCGCTTTGTCACAGCTCACCCTTCCTCCTCCCCCCGCCAATGTCAAAATTAACAAGTGAATTTGTCTCTCAGGTTTTCAAGAACAGAATTTACAGGAAGGAAGCAAAAGCCTTGTCACTAGACTTGAGCTGATAGCTTTAAAGAAACTGGAAAGCAGTTAGGTAGTCTTAATGTAGATCCCTCTGTATTCTCCTGAAAAACATCCTTTTCCCTTACTTATTTCTTAAGGATACTTATTTTTGTTAAGATCAACTAGGCATTCTAAAAATGTTATAAATTATGCTTAAAATTAGTTTCAGCCTAATATGTTGGTTTAGAGTTTATCAATATTTGAAAGTGAAACATTAATGAAGTTTAAATAGTTTTAGGAAGATACATAAATAAGTATACCAGAGTATTCCATAAAATTTTATCAATATTCTCTTCAGTATTAGAAGACTCACTGATTGAGACCATCTGTAAAATGACTAGATGCTTTCTCAGAATCTTTCCAGCTCTAATATTCTGTGACTAATGTTCATGAATATTCAGAATATTCTAATATTCTGCATGACTAATTCATGCAGAATTGCTAGGTCACTGCTGGCTCTGACCCACTTCCTGGAGTATGCCAGCTTACACACCATGTTCATCACAGTGTCCTGTGCTCAGTGCCTTAGCGCTGTCCTTGTCGTTGGACACTGAATGGTGAGAGAAGAGCCCGTTTCTGCGGGCATTTGAGTAGTCCTGGCAGGAGGAGGTGGACTTCAGTCACAGCCCCACAGACCTGTTTCACAGTTGGCACCAGTCATCCGTGCCATGTCCCTGCAGCCCAAGAGGACTAACATATTTTAATAAAGTCTGTGCTACTCGTTCTGAAGAAAGAACTTACCTGAAAGGATGACCTTTTTTTTTTTTTTGATACATTTAGTCAGGGTTGGGGAGGGAGTGGTGAATTATTTTCTTTTTGTTTACATTTTTAATAAATAAAATAGATTTAAGAACTAATCTTTATTTATGGTATTTAACTTTAAGTGTAATATATTACTTAGAAAAAACACAGCTTTAATAAAAATGGAAACTAATCTGCGTCTTGTCTTTACTTAATTAACACCATCAATTTTTTTAAACCTGGATGAGGAATACAAACACAGCCATGCACTCTATATGGGGACGATGAGGTGTTTATTATGAAACATAATTCAATTTTTACTTTACATGGAGTAAAATTGTCCTACTTAAAGAATAGGGACAGGTCTTATGTAAAGCTACAGGGAATAACCCTCCTCAAATAGTTAAGCAGGAAAGACAGCCAACTAAAACAATTCAGGGCAGCCGTCTCTGGCTGAAGATTATTCCTGTCCCATTTGTTCTGTGCTGTGGGGCAGGAGTCTCACCGCAGGACCGCTCTGCACATTCAAGTACCACACTCCATTTGGTAGCGGCAAGTAAATTGTGGCTGTGGAGTGTGGAGCGTGATTCTTCCTCATAAACTGACTGTAGTTTGAGAGAACGTACCTGGGGCGTGCCTTCACCATGTGCACTCAGAGCCATCCTGTCCTGTGGCCTGGAGCCAAGAACTGTGAAATGGACTGAGCACAGCTTCTGTGACCTACTTGCTGAGCTGAGATCTTTGTGGGAAATTTTAATGATAATATTTAGATTTTTTTAACATTTTAAATATTTCATGTAAGTAGCTAAAACTATGTACAATAAATTACTTCAAGTAGTTGAATAAATTCAATATTATTTGTACGGTATACTGAAGACAAAGTGTCTATGTCTCATACATTACCTGTTTATACTACCTTTTGGTATGTTCATAGAATATATCTTATTTAATAGGCGTCAATACATAAACGGGTCTTTTGTCAACAACTGTCTGGTAGATACGTTGAAATGGAGCAGTTTATTTAAGTCAGCTTGTTAGTGTTCTGCCAGAAGTTTGTTCCTTAATGTTTGAAATAAACTGGACTTGTTTGGAGATAGAAGTCCAAATACACCATCTGATGTTCTGGTAGATGACCAATACCATTCTCATTTTTTTTTTCTTTTAATAAATTTATTTATTTATTTATTTATTTATTTATTTATTTTAAGCTGTGTTGGGTTTTCATTGCTGTGCATGGTCTTTCTCTAGTTGCGGCGAGCGGGGGCTACTCTTTGTTGTGGCACGTGGGCTTCTTATTGTGGTGACTTCTCTTGTTGCGGAGCATGGGCTATAGGCGCCTGGGCTTCAGTAGTTGTGGCACACGGGCTCAATAGTTGTGGCTCGCGAGTTCTAGAGTGCAGGCTCAGTAGTTGTGGTGCACGGGCTTAGTTGCTCCGTGGCATGTGTGATCTTCCCAGACCAGGGCTCGAGCCCGTGTCCACTGCATTGGCAGGTGGATTCTTAACCACTGTGCCACCAGGGAAGTCCCCATTCTCATTTTATATGTATAGAAATGTTTTTTTCTGCCTATAGACATTAGTATATCTTAGATTCGATGCCATTTTAACACTCAGTGCCACTAACAATTTTTTCAATTTCAACAGAAACAGTAACTCAACTTTCTGACATTGTCTCATTTGAAAATATTCAAATCACAATATCTGAACATCTCCTGGCTCCCCCCTCACCCCACCCCATTAGGTCTCCTAATGACATTTTAAGAAGGCTACAGGTTGACTGAAAGAGATTTCACATGTGCTTACACACATGAGTGCTCATTAGTGTTTACATAGTGAAGACTTTGATATATTTGGTTGAGGGTCTGAAAATTTAATGGAAGTGAGGTAGCTACAGAGAATAGAGCAAATGTCGCGCGCCTCAGCACAGCTTGCCAGACCAGCCCCAGAGCCTTGAATCTTAACAGAGATCAGATGAAACAGGTTATGCCACTGTTATAAAATGATTTGGTTAGTTGTAAAGCTTTATGCTTGTTACTAAGTAAATAAAATGTGTAAAATCTGCATTTCTTACAATAGGTTTGACAGAGGAGTAAAGAGGGAGCCTGTAAGTGCTATACAGGTGTTAAATAATCTTTAGGGATAAGCCTCATGGTGATGAAGAGAAAAGTGAAGAAGGGAAATATCTGAGGCAAATCAGTCCTCAGCCTGATTGAGGTGAGTCTGTGGCTTTGCCACTCTGGGATTTTGC